GTCCCACAGCGGCATACTCTTGGGATTGCTCACGGGTGCGTCTCGAGTCAGACCGGCCACCAGGTCAGTCGCGGACTTGAAGTCCATCCAATGCCGGGCCTTTTCGAACTGGTACGGCGGCAAGAGGATGTGTGTATAGTCGCTCGTCTGCAGAGTGTGATGCGCCCAAAAGGCGACTCGCAGCCCTTGCTCCCAGAGCGAGACGGTGGCATCGGTGAGACCATCAAGGCCCTTCTCATTCGTTACGCTGACGGATTGAAAGTGGTGCGATTTGCTATGTCCGGTGAGCGCACGGCTCGCCATGACGGTGATGGTCGAGCTCGAGCCCGCCTCGAGGAAGATGGCGGACGGGTATTTCTTGGCGAGACGTTGTATAGCGTGGGAGAAGAAGACGGGGTTGCGCATGTGGTCCGGGACAAACTTGGGGGTCAGCGGGCCAGCAAAGGCTGTCTCGGTAGCCCGTTCCAGGGGAATTGAGGGCTCATGGAACTCGAGCTCGTGGCCGACGTGCTCGAGACGGTCAAGGAGCGGATCAACGAGGGACGAGTGAAAAGCGTTGGTGACATTGAGCCTCTTACTCCTGAGGGCTGAGAACTTGTCGCTGTTGTTGGCGATGGCCTCGGCCACGGCATCGATGGCCTTGACGGACCCCGACAAGGTGAAGCTCCGGGGACCATTGTAGCAGGCTATACTAGCGGGGCTATCAACCTGTCGACCCGCGTGCTCAAGGAGGCTCTGGACGAGCGACTCGTCGGCCTCAACGGCCATCATGCTTCCCTTGTCGTCACCCCAAGCATCACGCACGAGCTGTGCACGGCGGGCGACCAAGGTGAGGGCGTGCTTGAGACTCAGCGCGCCAGAGATGCACAGCGCCGTGAGCTCGCCGAAGCTGTGGCCGACGACGCTAACAACCTTGCCGGACAGTCCACAGTCGATCCAACTTCGGGCGCTGGCATATTGCATGGCGAAGAGCGCCACCTGTAGTCGTACAGGGTCGGGTAAGGGTGTGCGAGCGAAGATGTCGGGGAAGATGCTCGGCAGACCCAGATCAGCTTGCACAATCCTGTCGCACTCATCGAGATGGTGGCGGAAGACCGTGATGCTGTCGTAGAGCTTGCGGTCGAGGCCGACAAAGGTCGAGACCTGGCCGCCAAAGCACAGAACAACGGGTCGTTCGGCCTGCGTGGCCGTCATGTCGTGCTCGGATACGCTTGCAAGTCTCTCCTTGAGCTCGCCCACGGAGCGACAGCGGAGGAGGAGACGCTGCGGTAGGTCTGGGTTGCTCTGCCGGTTGATGTTAAAGGATAGGTCGGCCAGCGCGGACTTGGACTGGCGGTCCACGAGGGCAGCGAGCTTGGCCGCATATTCCTTTACGGCGCGTGCATCAGACCCAGAGATGAAGAAGGGGAACCGTCCGTCGAGCTTCTTGATCGATGCCACGTCCTGACGCTCGTGGGGAGTCGGTGGAGCCGCCACAACCATGGCAGCGTTGGACCCCGACGCACCATAGTTGTTGATCAGCGCCACCTTGTTCCGGCTATCCCAGCTTCGAAGTGAGGTCACAATCTCCATCATATCCGAGTCAGCCGCGGCTTTGATCGTCGTGTTCAGCTTGTTGAAGCTGGCCTGTGGCGGGATATATCCCTCGTGCATCATCATCAACACCTTGATGAGCGAGATGACGCCCGACGTGCCCTCGGTGTGCCCGATATGTCCCTTGACCGAGCCCACTGGCAATGGCTGGGCCCGGATCGGGCCTCCGACAGCCTTCCGCAGCGCCGCCCACTCAGCCGGGTCGCCCACGGCGGTGCCCGTGCCGTGGGCTTCGACGAGCGAGATGTCACGGGGCGACAGGTGCGCCTTCTTGACGACATCCCCAAACAGCTGCGCCAGCGACGGCGAGTTGGGCACGAAGATGGGCGTGTGGTTCTGGTTCTGGTACACGGCCGAGCTGGCCAGTCGGCCGAGGATGGGGTTGCCGTCGGCTCGCGCGTCCGCCATGCGCTTGAGGAAGACGCAGGCGATGCCCTCGGCGCGGCAGTAGCCGTCACCCTTCTCGTCGAACGGCTTGCACTGGCCGGTGGGGCTCAGGAAGCTCGCTGCCGTCAGGTTCTGGAACCAGTGCGGGTTGGTCAGGATACAGACGCCGCCGGCGAGCGCCGCGTAGCACTCGCCGTTTCGGATACTGTTGCAGGCACTGTGGATGGCGACGGCCGACGACGAACACGCCGTGTCGAAGGCGATGGCCGGGCCGGTCCAGCCAAAATGGTTTGCCACGCGTCCGGGCAGGTAGCTTTGCAAGTTGCCCGTGGCCATGAAAGCATTGAGGGGATGGGTGGCCACGTTGTGCTCGTAGTCGACGGACGGCGAGCCAATATACACACCAACGTGGCTCCGGTCTTTTCCTTCCTGTCCCGCTCGCGTGGCCTCGGTAAACAGGCCGGCCTGCTCGACGGCCTGGTACGCCGCTTGGAGAAGCAGGCGATGCTGGGGATCCATGGCGGCCGACTCGCGCGGGCTGCGCTTGAAGAACTTGTGGTCGAAGGCGTCGACGTCGCGCACGAAGTTGCAGAAGTAATCGCGGGTGTCGGGCTCGCGGAAGAGCGAGTCGAAGTTCAAGCGTTCCCGCGTCGCCTTCTCGTGCTGCGAGGTGCCCTTGCGGAGGAGCTGGGAGAACTCGTCGAGGTCGTCGGCGCCCGCGACTTTGATGGACATGCCGACGATGGCAATGGCGTCGTCGTCGTCAATGACGGGGTCGTGGTCCGGGCTGCTGGGCTGCTGTTCGTGAACGTCGGCGAAGTGCACCGCCCGCGATCCCATGTGGCGCACGAGAGTCGGCGGCAGGCATCGATCGGGGCCCAAGGTTGTCACTGACGCCTCACTGCCGTTGAGATACGCTGCCTTGACGGCCGCAAACGTGCCGTACCAGTCGCACTGCCGCGCGAACAAGGTCTCCAGAGCATGCGCATGGAGAGAGCCATCACCGGACGCAAGAGGCCTGCCGTCCCCAGCGTTGGTGAAGGTCGTCAGCGCCAGGTGTTCCGCCTTGGCAAACTGAAGGTCGTCCCTCTCGTTGCAGAAGGCAACGAGGTCTTGGATTCGCTTCTTGGACTGGGCCTTTGGGCTGTGCAGCTCGCCGCGAAAGCCCGTGTCGGATAGGACGACTCCGGCGGCACGAGCCTTTCTGACGAGCCTCGCTGCGGCCCGCTCCGAGACCGTGACCGTGGCGCGCGCCTCGTCAAAGAGCACGGAGATGTAGGCTTCAGGGGAGATGCTGTCAACGATCCGCCGCAGGTCCTGGTGTTGCTTCTCATTTGTCCATGCGACTGCGTACGTCCGATGCGGGTTCCATGTTTCCTGAGCGTCACTCAGGGCGCCTGCTAGCATGGCCAGACGCACCGCTACGGCGCCGTACTGATCGAGCTCTTCTAGATTCTGCGCGCTTGCAACGGCATAGGCACCCAGTAGGCCCATACAGAACCCGAGTGCCGGCGTCTTGTTGGCGACCAGCGCTGCTTGAGGATCAGACTTGGCACCGTTGTTGCGGGCCTGTAGATATTGATGGTACTCGGTGAGCTGTTGGAGCACGATCAACGGCACAAACACCACGCCCGGCAGTGCGTTGCCTTGCACGCCTAGGGTTTTGGATGTATTGCTTTCGAGCCATGGGCCGAGGTCCTCCAGGAGCTGTCTCCCCTGGGAACCGATGGTGTCTGTAATCTCAGGGAGCTCTTCTGCCAGGGCATCCCAATACTTTGGCAATCCTGCCACTGTATTGAGCACCCATTGGCGAGACAACTTGTTCTGCAACGTTGTCCTGATATCACCAAGTGCCTTCTCGCTATAGGCAATTTGTGATCCGAAGATCAACAAAGATTGGCTTATGTCCGCCATTTTTGTTCCAGGTTGTTTGAATGATAACACACTTGGAATAGGGATGCAAGAAAATCTGGACGGGTATGTACAAAGCAACAGGACCTTACATTTAACTAGGTCTTTGAAATAGGAACGAGGCGTGGAGTTCTGTTATCGATTTACCACTACGTCCACACTACTTGGTATGGATCTCACATAAGAGATGGCTTTATCTGAAACAATCCGTTGAGAAGGATTGCTCCGAGCCTCCATTGAGCCATTGATCTTTCATGATTTCTGGTTAGGCCACCATCCTGAGGTGGCCTCAAGGTCTGCACTGTATACTATCATCTGTAAGATACGCTAAGCTTGCTGATGTCAGACTCAGCCGCCTCGTGGAGTCCATGACTACATAGATAGACTTGATAAGAGGATGATAATGCATGCTATTCCTTGCAGCAACGCAGAGGGTGGGTCGTCCTGTTGCAACTGACGCGTCCTACTTTCTTTTTGCAGACTGAGGCTCTGAGCCTGAGCCTGAAATGCAGTGTGACTGTGTGATACAGTCGACAGGAACCAATTGGGATAGCTCTACATAGACTGCATTAGTCTGGATTGCTAGATGGGGGCTGAAATCCGGCTGTTTCTCGACAAGTCCAATATATTCACTGGCTTCAATGGCTTGCAGAGTCATTATTGTTGATAAGGTTGCATTGTGACATGCTGTTATGCTAATACCTTTAGTTTTTCAAATACATCCTCAGGCCATAAAATAGCATCATGTATGACCATACTGCTAATAATTTAGTGGTAAGATAATATTAAACCACATGCTAGAGAATTAGTAGTAATACCCTAGTGGGGTGACACTTTATGCTATGTCTAACAAATAATTATGTCTAACAGTGGGCTGATCATTCCGTCTGTTGTCAGGGTGACCTTAAGGATAGGCCCTGCACGTGACTTTGTAGGCAGCAACATGCAACTGCAAGTACCTCTCTCTTTCCATCTAATACTCATCATCATCATCATCATCATCATCATCTTCATCATCATCTCATCTCATTATCATCTCATTATCATCGATCCAAGATTCAAAGTCCATCTTCAGCTACTCCGCTACAGCCACGGGCTATAGGCCGGCTATGTCACGCCAAAATCGAGTGTGGTCTCGGAGAGAAATCGAGGGATTGATAGCTGATGGGCGAAAGATCATCATATTGGGTGATCAGGTACTCAAGGCCGACGCGTGGCTTCCATATCACCCAGGCGGGGATAAATCAATATTGCACATGGTTGGTCGGGATGCAACGGACGAAATAACAGCATTGCACTCAAAGGAAGCTAAGGCACATATGCAGAAGTATGTGATAGGAAGAGTACACGGAAGATGGGAGAACTTCTTGCCTCCGATACAGGGAGGAACATTCCGAACGCTGGTATCGAAGGACGCCGACGACGAATATGTCAGCTCATCTGGAGAATCGACGCCACCATCCCCAGTCTTTGATACCGAAGAGACAGGAGACGGAGTTCGTCTGAGGCGTGCCGGCAACGATACGCCTATTTCTCGAGCTTCCTCCTTATTCTCATCCGAGCCGGAGCTGGAGCAATTCAGATCGGCGGAAGCATCAACAGCCCACGCGATATCATCAGACCTTTCAAAATATCCTCGTCTTGATAAGAGGTCACAAGACGAGGTCGCCTCCAAGTACCGCCAGCTCGATGAAAGATTGCAATCCGAAGGACTCTACGAGTGCCCGTATAGCTCCTACGCGGTCGAATTTGTCCGATACGCGATTCTTTTCCTTCTCTTCTTGACCTTTCTTCACTATTCCTACTACGCTCTTTCGGGCTTTTTCCTCGGGTTACTCTGGCACCTGCTGGCATTCACCGTTCACGACGCCGGGCACCTCAGCATAACCCATGTATTCCACATCGACAGCTGCATCGGGATTTTCGTTGCCGATTTCCTTGGTGGACTTTCAGTTGGCTGGTGGAAGCGGAATCACAACGTGCATCACATCGCAACCAACTCGCCCGAGCACGATCCCGACATCCAGCACATGCCATTTTTCGCCATCTCTTCTCGATTCTTTACTTCCCTGCGCTCGAGCTACTACGACCGCGAGATGAAGCTCGACGCTGCAGCCCGGTTTTTCATCAAGTACCAGCATTACCTCTACTATCCCATCCTGTTATGGGGTCGTTTCAACCTGTACCGCCTAGCATGGTCATACCTCCTCGATCCGGCGCAAGCGCCCCGTAAAGGCGCCGCATGGTGGCATCGCTACCTGGAAATGGCCGGCCAGGTGTTTTTCTGGTACTGGTACGGCTACCGGACGCTATACCTCTCGATCCCGACGTGGTCGTCCCGCCTCACGTTTCTGCTCATCTCGCATATGGTCACCGCCCCGTTGCACGTCCAACTCACGCTCAGCCACTTTGCCATGTCGAGCGCCGATCTGGGCGTCCACGAGTCGTTTGCTCAGAAGATGGTGCGGACGACGATGGACGTCGAGTGCCCGCCCTGGTTGGACTTTGTGCATGGCGGTCTCAATTTCCAGGTCGTGCACCATTTGTTCCCTCGCCTCCCGAGACATAACTTGCGCCGGGCGCAGCCGTACGTGAAGGAGTTCTGCCACGACGTTGGCATTCCGTACGTAATCTTTGGGTTTACGCGGGGGAACAAGGAAGTCATTAGCAGACTGGGCGAGGTCGCCGAACAATTGAGGGTGTTGGAGGAATGCAGAAAAGTTGCTGCGAAGGATTTGATCGAGGGTCACCACAGTCATTGATTCAGTATCCCCGAACATGGGTTCCGTTCTTCTCTTATCCCAGGGTACTGGAAATGTTGACCCTTGGTTCGCTTTGTACTGACACTAGATCTAGTCGGCTGTAGAGGTAGCACTATAGATCCTAAGATTCTACCCTTTAGTACTTCCTTTAGTGCCTACATGTGTCAAATCTATAACGCGCGCCACATCCAAAAGGGATTTTCCTTCACTGACTTTAGCACTCCGAGTCTCATAACGCCCCAATTTCCTTTGCCAGGTTCAAAATCTCCTTAACGAGAGGATCCACATCCGCACTTTTTACCGGCACCCGATGCGCGCCATTCCACTCCAACACCCGAACACTGTCGACGCTACAGTAGTTCTCGAGGAGCTCACGGTGTAGGCGAAGACCTGGATCTGCCAGCCCATGGACATGTATGGTGGGTGTTTTGAGGACGTGTTCCTCTCGCATGAGATCCTCCAACTCCGGAGGCCCCGACAAATCACTCTGTGACGGGGTGCTCAGCATCGAAGACCTGAAAATATCCGGATCGAGGTTTACTATCGGTGCTCGTCCGGCCATCAACACAGCAAACTTCCAGTCAGACCCGGCTTTCGCCCGCCCCAGTCTCTCGCCGCGGACTTGCTGTCGCAAAATCAAGCTCGCAGCCAGCTTCGCGCCTTGGCTGAAACCCAGCAATCCCACCCATGGCCCCGTAGCACCCGATCGATCGTCCTCTACCATGGCGGTTTCTATCGAGCTGTTGATAGCCTCAATTGCCGCTCTATCCTCGACCTCAGGCTCCGGAAGCCATCGCCTGAACGGGCCATAGTCAGCGTAAACCAAGAGGACGTCCGGCCCCGGCATCGAATCGAATGGCGCTTCGGCATAGGCTAATCGGAAGTATGGCTCTAGCATGCGCGAGACCACCCGGCATTGGGTCTTGAAAATGCGTGCGTTGCTGCCGCCACCGTGTAAGCAGAGAATCCGTGGGAGGTGAAGGGTATTCTGGTGGTATTCCTGGTTTCTTGCGTCCATGATATGAAATGTGGGAACCTAATCTTTCCTCAGACTGGGTGATTTCCCTAACTTGATGGGCAGAGGCTACTTCATAAGGCTTCACTTATTTATAGTAGGCCTAGTGTTCACTAAATATACAGTCCACGTTAAGATATCTAGGTCACCTTTAACTATTCAGTCTTCTCTTGTGAATGAGCTTTTCCTATCACTATTTACTAAGCAATAGATCTGACTCACTAGTGAGCTATGCACGCCAAACACATAGTAAAAAGTATACAAACATATTCTGCCATTCAACCACCGTATGGTATTTTGACTTGGATAGATATGGTTATTAAGGAATGAAGTTGTAATTTACTGTTCACTATAGTGTTTTAGGGTAGGCAGCAGGCTATTGAAACATTAATATACAGCAATCTTACTGATGTCAGCCCTAGTGCCTCGTCGAGTCTATTACTATGGATTTGATGACGGGATGATAATGCATACTAAACTTGACTATTCTTACAGTAACCTCAAGGTGGGTCATCCTGTCACAACTGACGCGTCATCTTATCATAACCAAGGCGTCTGTTTAGACCAAGCACTGGCAATGGCTGCGGCTGGATCGGGCCTCCGACAGCCATCCGCAGCGCCACTCAGCCAGTACTCATGCTTTAGTACATGCCTGGCCTCCACGCTAAGATGTAGCTGTAAATAATACAGAGGATTGAAAATATCAACTGAATCACAGGCATAGAGTACTTCTCCGTCCAGTGTTTCACACTAGTTATGCATGCAGTGAGATATATTATTCATATAAAGCCACCAGTCACGCTATCCAGCCATTAAGAAGGACCGTAGCTTAGTTGGATGAGTGATGTTCTTAGCATCCGATACATAGTAGCATGATGAGTCCCACCATCGGGATATGGGGGCCGATTATATGCGGTAGTATATGAACAAATGACACAGCCGGACATCGTTCAAGGCTGGTATTGTTGTATATTCTGATCCTATTGCCTCTGCTTAGCCATGTCTGACTCGAACATTCCCCCAACCTCCATTCCCACGGCCCTTAAAGCCCCCAATGTCGCCATCGTCGGCGGGGGCCTGATCGGTGTGATGCTTGGGCTCGGCCTCTCGCACCGCGGTATTCCCTTTACTATCTATGAACGCGCCTCGGACTGGCATGAGATTGGCGCCGGCGTCGCCCTGACCAGCGTCGCACAGAGCAGCATGCAGCGACTACACCCGGAGGTCCTCGCTGCGCTCCACCGAGTCGCCAGAGCCAATCATTTCAGCTTCTGGGATGGCTTCCATCCCGCGACCCATGAGGCGGCTCAAGACGCCTCGGAGGCTCTGCACTTCCTGCTTGATGCGCCGGGGACCGACTATTGGTGCTGCATGAGGTCCCAGTTCCTCCGCGAGCTGGTGGCTCTGCTCCCTGCGGGATCGACCTGTTTCAACAAGGAACTCGAGAGTTATGTCGATGATCCGAGCCGCCAACAGGTTCTTTTGCGGTTTACGGATGGAACCACTGCTGAAGCAGATGCTTGTGAGTTTTCCGGTGTACGCTCCTCGGCAAATACTGACTCGGCAAAAGTACTCGGCTGCGATGGCATTCATTCACGGACTCGTCAGCTCCTTTTGGGAGATGACAGCCCGGCGGCGCACGCCAGTTTCACCCATCAGGTGGGCTACCGCGCCGTGCTCCCTATCTCCGAAGCGATCGAGGTCTTGGGCGATGCCAAGGGGGGTCGCGACTTTTGCATCCATATTGGCCCAAATGCCTACGTCCCTTCCTATCCTGTAAGTTCTATTCAACAATCCATTCTGCTTAACCCCATGTCGTCCTACCGTTACTGACGGTTCGCAAAGATGTTAAACGGGACAGAGACAGTCCTGAACATGACGACGGTCATCTACACCCCCGAACCATGGCCTCACGGGCAGAAGATGGTCGCGCCGGCAACCCACGACGAAGTGGCCCAGGTCTTCAAGGACTGGAGCCCGCCTATCCGCGCTCTCATCGCCAAGTTCCCGGAGAAGCTGATGAAGTGGGGCATCTTTGACATGGCCGACCACCCCGCACCGACGTATGCGCGCGGCCGCGTCGCCATCGTCGGTGACGCGGCTCATGCCAGCACGCCGTTCCTCGGCGCCGGCGGAGCAATGGGCATTGAAGATGCGCTGGCCATGGCGTCCGCGATGCAGCTTGTCAGCGCAACTTCGACCAGCGCCGCGTCGATCCCCGCTGCGCTGCAGGCATTCAGCGCGGTGCGCCGGGAAAGGTCCCAGTGGTTGGTGCAGAGCTCGCGCGAGATGGGAGTCATCTTTCAGTGGCGGGATGCTGCCGCGGGAAATGATGGCGAACGGTTTAGGGTCGAGGCCGAGCAGCGGACTCATAAGATATGGGACTTTGATGTCGATGGCATGGTTGACCAGGTCCGGCGGGAGTTTGAGCAACGGACAGCGGGAGCGGCGTAAGGATTTGTGTGCATATAGTGTGTATACCTAGTGTGCTGTCTTTACGCTGTTACAGCTCTTCTCACATAATCAGACATGTTGGTTAATAACTACCTAAGAGCTTTTGGCCGCGTCTTCCGCAGTAGCATTGCTTATCACTACATGTTTGCACGCTACAGGTCGGTGGCCCCTGCCAAACGCCATGGGAGCACGGAATGTGGTACATAGCGGTTTATGCAAGTCATGTCAACATGTCAGGATGGCCAGATCCTTCCATAGCTATTCTGCCAAGGTATTACATTTGGTTTTCAGCCCCAGACCCGCACGATGGGTCCTGACTCCCGACTCCTGAGGTCCACTAGGCCGGGCCGTCAGAGACATGTGCAATGAGTCAACGGCCTTCCAAATTAAGTACACCGTGCGTTGTTTGTGCCGGATTCTGGTCTTAGCTCCGGGATGGCTGACCCGTAAGGATCTCCCGTGTTCGTCGTCGGCCGGTTGCGTGATCTTTAGCCCTGCAACTAGTTCCGTGATCCGTAAAAATGTGTAATCGTGAGGCGCAGTCGAGCAGTCAGCAAATAATGGTAGCGTTCTGCAAATTCCGCAATGGCTAGAGTTTTCTATCCGCAGTGTCATGCCTAGTAACGAGGATACTAGGCATCTTTTGATAGGGGCTGCCCAAGATACGTGGTCACTGTTAGATACTACGATACAAGATAGCCTAGCAAGAGCATATGTAACCGTATGGAGGCAGTGATTGGGGTGGGGGGTGGTATATTAGCTACCAAAAATCTGTGTACAATATAGAATAGAATCTGCTAGCAGCAAATGATATTCCCTAGTAGGGCAGCCTTCTCGGCCCCCGAGTATAACTGAAACAAAGCGGATGCAACGGAGGAGCCGAAGGGTAGTCTAGTGCTGACGGTTTGAACGTGCTTCGAAAATTCGAAATACTGCTTATAGTTGGTGACATTATAGTATCTGTAAGTTACAAAAGTGTTGGCCAGCGCTAATTCATGTAAATAATGTATCCTGCTTCTATTATGTAGTGCTTATCTACCTTAGGGTAGTGCTGACGTTAGAACATGCTTCAGAAACTTCAAAATACTGACTATAGTCGGTGGCATTATAGCATCTGTAAGTTGTAAAAGTGTTGGCTGGCCTAATCTCACATAATAATATATCCTGCTATTCTATTACACATGGCTTATCTGCCCTAGGGTACAATAATTAGTCGTATGCATTGATTAAGATACTATAAAATAACGGTCTGAGGATAAAGGACCTATCCTACACCCTAGCTTCTATGCCAATTTCTTCGTCAACTTCTTCCAACATGGGAAGAGAGCCAATTGCCATAATTGGACTGAGCTGCAAGTTTGCAGGGGATGCATCAAGTCCATCAAAACTTTGGACATTGCTCGAAGAAGGACGGAGTGCATGGAGCGAGATCCCCTCGTCACGATTCAATCCCAAAGGGGCCTATCATCCAAGTCGCGAGAAGCTGAGCACTGTAAGCACCTCATAAGTTCCTCAAAGCTTCCAAGGCTAATGATGGCGTAGTCACACATTCGCGGCGGGCACTTTTTGGAGGAGGATTTAGGGCTATTTGACGCTGCCTTCTTTAACTTTTCTACGGAGACTGCCTCGGTACGAACCCCATCTCAGCACCCTGTAGTCAAATCTGACTGACGAGATGCGTGTAGACGTTAGATCCTCAATTCCGGCTTCAATTGGAGTCGGTTTACGAGGCACTAGAGAATGGTGTGCTTCCCCCTTTAACTTTCAAGTCATAGAGTTTCTCCCTTGGCTTACTCGCTAACGTGACTGTCATACAGCCGGCCTTCCTCTATCACAAGTTGCAGGCTCCAACACCTCCGTCTTTGCGGGCACATTCTTTCATGACTACAGGGATGCCTTGATCCGTGATGAGGACAACCTGCCGAGATCCTTTATCACGGGCATTGGCTCTGCCATGGCATCCAACCGTATATCCCACTTTTTTGACCTCCGAGGGGCCAGCATGACGATTGATACTGGATGCTCAACGACGCTTGTGGCTCTTCACCAAGCGGTGGAGAACCTCAGAAGCAGAGGGAGTGAGATGAGCATCGTGGGCGGCGCCAATGTGCTCTTGAACCCCGACAATTTCAAAGCCTTGGGATCCTTCGGGTACGCATGCTGTCCTTGGGTCAATGATCGATCTCACTAACACCCCCTTCAGCTTTCTCTCACCTGATGGTAAATGCTTCGCCTTTGATGAACGTGCCAACGGCTACGGACGCGGGGAGGGCGTGGCCACCATCGTTATCAAACGCCTCGAGGATGCGCTTGCGGCCGGCGACCCCATCCGGGCCATCATCCGGGAGTCGGTCCTGAATCAAGATGGCAAAACTGAAACCCTCACGTCGCCCAGCCAGGCAGCTCAGGAAGCTCTCATGCGAGACTGCTATGCCAAAGCTGGTCTCGAACCGCTCCAGACGCAGTATTTCGAGGCCCACGGCACAGGGACGGCCACTGGTGATCCGATTGAGGCGGGTGCAATTGCGTCCGTCTTTCAGAGTCATAGACGGAGGGAGGATGAGGCGTTACGCATTGGCTCCGTCAAGACGAACATTGGCCATACCGAGGCAACGAGCGGGCTGGCTAGTGTTATCAAGGTCGTGCTGGCGATGGAGAAAGGTGTGCTTCCACCCTCAATCAACTTCGAGAAGCCCAATCCCCAGTTGGCCTTGGATGAGTGGCGACTCAAGGTGGTTACCGAGCTGGAAAAGTGGCCAGTGGCTCCTGGCCAGACGATGCGAGCGTCGGTGAACAATTTCGGCTATGGAGGCTCCAACGCCCACATCATTATGGAAGATGCCAACGGACTCGCACAGAACCGCTCTGTCAATGGGAATGTCAATGGCAAATCCGCCCCTGGGTCCACTGGCGACAAGTATAAGCTTCTGCTCGTCAGCGCCAAAGACGAGCATGCGCTCGAGAACATGGTCGCACAACTCACAGACTTCCTGCGTCAGAAGGACCAGCATGGTCCACAAGACGCCGAGACTCTTCTTCAGGACTTGGTCTACACTTTGGGCCAGCGTCGCACCATGTTCCCCTGGGTGGCGGCATACCCCGTCCCCATAACTCAAGGTCTGGACGGTGTCGCCAAGGTTCTGGAAACGCCCAAGTTTCGACCATCGCGCCCCTCCCAACGCCCACGTATCGGCATGGTCTTCACCGGCCAAGGAGCGCAATGGTACGCCATGGGTAGAGAATTAATCACAACGTACCCTGTGTTCAAAGCGTCTCTCGAGGAAGCCGATGGCCACCTGCGAGACCTCGGCGCCGACTGGTCACTCATGGAGGAGCTTGGCCGTGATGCCAAGGCAAGCAAAGTCAACCAGACGGCCTTTAGCATCCCCATCTGTGCCGCGGTGCAGATCTCGCTGGTCCGGTTATTGGAGACCTGGGGAGTTACACCGTCGGCTGTAACAAGCCACTCGAGCGGAGAGATTGCCGCAGCATATGCGGTCGGCGCCATCAGCCTCCGCCTCGCCATGGCGATCGCCTACTATAGGAGCCGACTAGCCGCCGAAATGACCCTGGATGGGCCTATCAAGGGCGGCATGCTAGCGGTTGGCCTTGGGCATGTGGATGTGGAACAATATCTCGAGCGGCTTACTTGCGACGCTCGAGCTGTGGTGGCGTGCGTCAACAGCCCGTCTAGCACGACGGTGGCGGGCGACATTGCGGCGATTGAGGAACTCGAGACGTTGCTCAAAGCCGAGGACGTGTTTGCTCGCCGACTGCGAGTCGACACTGCGTACCACTCCCACCACATGGAGCCCGTCGCGGAGAACTACCGCCAGGCGCTCCGCAAGATGCCGAGGGAAGACCCAAAGACTGAGCGTCTAGGACCCGTCGCTTTCGCATCCCCCGTCACTGGCTACCGCATGACCAGCGCCCGAGCGATCGCCGACCCGGAACACTGGGTTCGCAGTCTAATGCAGCCCGTCCAGTTCGTTGACGCATTCACCGAGATGGTCCAGGGCGACTTGTCTGCCGACGCAGCGAGCCACAGCGTCGATATCATTGTCGAGGTTGGCCCACACACCGCTCTCGGAGGCCCCATTCAGGAGATTCTCACCCTGGAGGACTTTGAGGGAATCCGGCTGCCGTACTATGGCAGTCTCGTGCGGCACGCTCACGCGGTCGAGAGCCTCCAGACGCTGGCGTCGAACTTGCTCAGGGAGGGCTATCCGCTCGACATCGAAGCCGTCAACTTCCCGCACGGGAGAAGCCAGAACGTGCGCGTCTTGACCGATCTCCCGTCGTATCCCTGGAACCATCAGACCAGACACTGGCTTGAACCGCGATTCAATCTGGGCCTTCGCCAGCGGGATCAACGTCCACACGAGCTCCTCGGCTCGCTGGTCCCGGGGACCAACCCAGAAGCCCCGGTGTGGCGACACATACTACGTGCTACCGAGTCGCCTTGGGTTCAAGACCACGTCATCCAATCCAAGATGCTCTATCCCGGCTGTGGGTTTATCTGCTTGGCTATCGAGGCCGCCACGCAACAGCTGGCTATCGCCGAAGAACAGGAGGACCGTGAGATATCTGGGTACCAGATCCGAGACGTGAGCGTGCAGCAGGCACTCGTCATTCCGGACACAGCTGAGGGCATTGAAATCCAAACAGCTCTCCGTCCCGTCAGTGACAAGGCCATTGGCTTGCAAGGCTGGAAGGAGTTCGAGGTCTTCTCCATCACTTCAGAGAACAGATGGATGCGACATGCACAGGGTCTCGTTATGGTTGAATTCAACAACGTTGAAAACGGCGTCTCCTCTTTGGACCAGAAAATACGACATGCGCGACGGATCGATGCCATTGATATGTGGAGTACCCTGGAATCTCTCGGCATCAAGTACGGTCCGACGTTCAGGAACATCAGCGACATCCACCAATCGAAGAAAGAACTTCGATCGACAAGCACCATCACTGTGCCTGATACATCTGTGCCCAACGACCTC